TTTATCAGCTGCAGAGAAATAAAGCATGCAAAGTACAGGTGTCCCATGCGTCCTTTGCATGCATTCACCATCCTTCATGTGCAGAAGGAGCAGGGGACAAGTGCAGGTGTTATTATTTTCACGAGCATCAAGGTAATTTCTTTTCCCCTCTAGCATCTTTTACAGTTATGGCGGCGGTGTGCCAGCACAAACAGGTATCTAGCGGTGAAGCTGTCACTCATTCATAAGGTGAAATGTGACTGAAAGCGAGAGTATTGAACAGAGAACTAGAGGTGAGCGCGGAAAGACGTTCACAGGGAAGGAAGACGACGGTTGTAAAAGGGGGAAACTTCCAACGGAGAAGAGTCAGACTGAAACCTGCCAGTAACCAATCATCTGAGACCTCAGCTCATTGAACGGTGACTGCAGAGAGCAAGAACAGATAGAGATGATCTCTCAAATACATCGTCCTCTAACCTTTAGGTGAACTGATCCAAAAGAAATATTTACAAAAGTAAAAACAAAAAAACAAAAACAAAGGTTTGACTTTTTCCATCCCTCATTTCTTCAAATGCTTTTTATTGATCTGATGTAAAGTTATACCTTGTACTTATTTTTTTATTTATAAGCTTTAAGCTGAGAATTTGGAAATAAAAAATTTGCCAGAAAACATCAGTATTCAATTAATCAATATAATGCTTTAATTTAGTAATTTCAGCTACTTAAATAAATTAAATTTTAAATCATACATGTATATATATATATATATATATATATATATACATATATACCGTTTTTATTCCAACTGAAGTCTTTAAAAATGTGCAGAAACACAAAGTGGCGAAATAGTAAAAAAGAAATGCAAGCTGATGCAATCCTCTTGTTTGATTTCAACATTGCGAAATTGAGAATAAGACTAAGCGTGTGTGAGTAGGAGAGACGGTAAAGATAAAGTATGTGGATCTGAGTGACTATTTGTGTGTAATAAGCGGCACTCCCACCAGCAGCAGGTGTGTCCAGGGTAGTTTTCATCTCTACCAGGACCTAAATGGTGTCCATCTGCTAACACACCCAACACTAAATCTGATTCAACGCCTTGAACACTCAGCTCCCTGTTTTTGGGAAGTGAAGCCAGCAACTGTAATATAATCTATTATATCAACTCGCTTTAAACGATATCCCAAAAAAAAAAAAAAAAAAAAAAAGCACATTTATAATCCTTTAAATGAATGATGTTATTGGTATAATTCAGTATAACAACTTTAGCGTAGGTATTTTGCAAGCACCTGCATGAGTATTAGGAAAAACACTCAAATAAATGTTTTATTTCCAGTTTTTTAAGCAAAGCTCTGTGAAAAAAGCTGTCATGTTGAATCAGGTTTGCAGGAGAGCTGCATAGGGCTAACAGCTAGAAACTCAAAAAGCGTAAAACCCATATGAAGCCATAGTACATCAGTAGAAATAATAAAAAGAAAAATATATTGTTGCATGAATACTTTTTGAAGTTTCTCTTTTATTTTTCTCTTTTTCCTAAATAAAAGAAAAAAGGCCAAAATCAACTATGACAGAAGAGGCCGACCAGTTCAGCATCAGGAGCCAAAATAAACTCGCAGTTCAAAGAGCCGCACATTTTTAATCACTGAAATGTCTCATGACAAAAACCTCAAGCTTTTTTATTTTCATATCAGTTGATCTTATTTCTTAACTGATTTCTTAAACATCAAAAACAGCCTAAGCCACAAAATGTCCTCAGGATCATGAATGAAGGCAGTGCCCCTTTCTATTCTGTAAAACAAGCTGCAAAAAATTTTGCTGTAGATTTGAAGTTTTTTGGGGTGGTTTCGATGGACACAGCAAATATGACCTGTGTCATGAGGTGAGGTGAAATAACCGCCAATGAAGTGCAGCTGGTGTAAAGTGTTGCTGCAGGAAGGAATAGGAATGGAGAGCGTTGATGTTTTTCAGGGTAAAAGATTTTTCAAAATAAGATACTCTATAAACTGCCCTAACCCCACAAAACGGAAGTGCTCCAGACCACTAGAGGGAGACGAACTAAGCACAAACCCGATCCGACTAGATCCCCATACAAACAGGAAGTCAAGCTTTGAGGCAGAAAAAGAAAATAAAGACAGTTGGAGGAGAAAATGAGTGGATTGCGCCATCTTTGTTCTTCTTGCCCCCAAAATAAATCCCATGATGCACTGCAAGGTGAGCACTTGCAAAGCTTTCTGGGATATATGGTCTAGTGACCATGGTTGCTGCTACTTTTCAACGTGCATTGTGAGAATAAAACTTTTTCATCCACCCAAAATTCGGACACTCATATAAAATGGCATAACCACTATATAGGGCAATCTTTAGGACACAGCCATTGTTGGACTATCTAGTCCAGCAGATCCAAACAGCCATCTTGTTATTGTTCAGCTGACTGCAAGATGTGCTTTTCAAAAGAGACACAATTGCTATTTGCTGACATTTTGGTTTGAGCTTAAAAAATCCAAATAAGGAGTGTTAAATTGGTTAGAGCGAGAAAAAAAAAAGGCAAGTATAACAACTGGTTATGTTTGCACATTCAGAAAGGGAAAGACATGCAAAACGGTTTAATCCGCCCCATTAAAATCAGAAAATTACAAGTCCTTCTGGTAGTTTGAGAGTGGATGTAAAATAGAGGTAAAGTTCTAAGAATGAATCAGAGGTAAACATGATAATAATAATGATAGATAAAATCAGAACCATAATTTTAAATCTGAATATTATTCATAGCACACTTTACATAAATATCATAAAGATAATACAAAAAGAAAAGAGCAAACCTTAAATTTAAAAGACCAAATATTAGTCGTACAATTTGTCCTTACATCCAACCCCTCTTTGACAGCAAATAAGCCAGATTCAGATTCACAGAGAGATTAATGTCTAAACAGCTGGATTTACTTACACCAACTCCTCACATCATCCAGTGTAAAGCACTGCAAACCAAGGCAGCCCCAGAATAATTCCTCACAGCATAACTGTGCTTCACACAGACTCCAAGAAGAAATAAGGTCCCTTCAGAGCCATGATGGTTGTTTTAGGATTAATCTTTATAATTTATAAAAAAGCTTGTTAAATATAACAGATGTATATACTTCTCTATAAATTAAATAGTTTTTCCTACCCATACTATAATGCTTATGGTACAAATTCTAATGTTGTGCATAATATCCCTGAGCAGTCAAATTAGTTGAAGAAGAGATGCAAATGATAACACATATAGGATCCACATGGTGTGCTAATAGTTCAAATGCTTAAAAACGATGAGGAAACGTTTTTCTTGGCAAGTTTCCATTCTTTTGAGAACAAGGTTGACATGAGCCACAGAGCTGTAACTGTACCTGTTCTCCGCTAAATTTAGAGTAAAACATTTTAAATTTTAAATCTTAACTACGAGTTGTTTACTATAAGAAGTGTAATTGTAAGAGTTGTTTAAAGAATGATGAAGAATTGGGAAAAAGCTCTAAAACGTAAGCGCTCTTTAATCATGATGATATATCTCTTTAATTTGGTTACGTTCATTTGTGGAGATTTTTGTACTAAAATATTTTTAAAAAAGGAAAAACTGTGATAAAACATCCTGAATTGTATATTTTTTCTGTGGTTCATTAAGGCAAAATTCAACAAAGTCAAAACAGCTAAAATAGGTCTAATAATCTCTGAAAGAACACAGGGATCCATGGGCGGTTCTAGAGAGGGGCCAACAGGGGCCCCTGTGGAACTGGTTCCAGCATTTGTCATGCCTCTAGTACTGAAAACATAATACAAAATATATATATTTTTTATGAATACAGGCGCAGGCACAGAAATTTGGATGCACTGAATTTTTTTAACCTTTACAGTTTTATTTTTACTATGATTCCACTCCTTCCTTCTCAATCTATTCTCGGTACTACCAGTGACTACTCTAATTCTTTTCCTAGGTTACTCATCTGCCTAAGATCTGGTTTTATTTAGGTCAATATCCGTATCTCTGCTTCTGTCTCCTTGAACCCCAGTCGGTCCCGGCAGATGGCAGCTCACACTGAGACTGTTTCTGCTGGAGGCTTCTTCCTGAGTTTTCCTCCCCACTGTTGCTGCATGCATGACCAGTGTCAGGGATTGCCAAGAGTCAATGAATCCATTCAATCAGCCTGTTTCCGTCAGATAGAAAAATTTACCAATCTGAATCTATTAACTGTATAAATAAATACATTGAATGGAATAAAACTTTTCTAATTGCAGCTTTTCTCTGTGTGAGTCTCTCCAGGTTGAAATGAAGAACTATTGCCCTTTTTTTTTATTCTGTACCCTTATAAAAAAAAAAAAAAAGCCCCCCTGGTACATTTAGTGCAGAGGATACCAAAAGTTATGTTTAATTTATTAATTTTTCTATAAAACCACTAAGACAAACCCTCCCATTATAAGCAATAGAAAACAGAGTCTCTTTTCCTTTCTACAGCAAAAAAAACAACAACAAAATTTTCCCTTTAGTGCTGCTTTAAAATGACACCTCTCACTTGGATGCTTGATGCTCTCTACACCTCATGCAATGATTAGTGTGACTTACAAGAAGGGAATGTTTCTGGTGCACAAAAGCAGCATGCTTTTAGAGATAAGGAGGAGTGTTTTTGGTGACAGACGAAGGGCCTTCCTGTCCTGGGACGGAGCCAGAACATCCAATGGAAAAATTCAAGCTATTAATCATCCTCTAAAAGGGGAATTCAAATGTGACAAAACTTCTTTTTCACAATCTCAGGGAAGTCTTTTAAGCAGGATAAAGTTTCATGCAATCTCCCTCTATCGCTAAGTCAACTTTGAATAATTTCTGACTGCAAATGACCAAGAGGAGGAAAAGAAACCAGCTGACTAACTAAATGTCCCAAAGCCAACCAGAGGCGAGCTGAACAGCTGAACAGTCCAGGTAAAGACTGGTAATAGTTATGATGCTTTCTGACTGCAAAGACAACCCCCCCCCCCAACACACGCATAGGATCACACATACTCACCCAATGAAGGAGACCATCTGCTCCACAATGTGCTTGCTGAAGGTGATGATCACAAACAGTTTCTGTATGACAAAGAGGCACACAGAGAAGCAGAGAGTCAGTTACTGAGCCATAAGGTCGGCGCTGAGCCTGTTGAACAAGGCGCCGTGTATGCATCATCAGTTTGACCAGTACATCCCCCCCCCAACACCCACACTCCTCAACCACCACCATCAGACACATCATCATGCCCAAACCCATGCCTTCTAAGTGGTTTTGGTGAAAGCAGGAATGAAGGACGAGAAATTTGGTCAAGAGGGGTTGAAAAAACAAGAAAAAACAAAAAAGGCCTGGACTTTGTGACACATGAGTGGGTCAGCATGTCAAAGAGGCTTTCAGCGTGATGGGGGGGGATCATAGGTGATGTGTCACTGGGGGGGGGTCTGGATTCAGTTCCTGCCCAGCTTGATTTACTGCTTAGTCACTGGTAACATGGGGGGAACATGCAACTGGTGACTGGTGTGGCCATGCCGGCTCAAACAGGCTCTGTGTCGTGTTGGGTGGGTGGTGGGGTAGGTGGGGGGGGGTCTAGAACATGCACACAAAAACTGACCTAATTCTGAAGAATACTCGAGCTCTGGGCCTATTTAGGTTTTACCATTAAAAAAAACAATGATTGTTAATTTCTTTCTCTTCTTTCTAAAAACATTTGCAGAAAATAGGTCAATACATGTTTTATAAGATGCACACATTTCTACATGTAGGTCTAATAACTGAAATGCATAGTTTGGAAGAGGAAAATCATTCAGTACGAAGCCCTAAATTAAAAAAAAACAAACAGCAGAGCTTGTTCACCTATTTTTTACTAACTCCTTCCATCATCTGTGAAATTGTGGACTGGTATCAATACGTTACTTTAACAGGTAGTCAGGAAAACAATAAAATCTCATCCTAAAAATTGACTGGAGAGAGAACAAGAAATCATAAAACAGAATAGTATGACTGGTCTTTTCAGATAAGATTTTTTTCATTACATTTTTTGTGAAAATGATATAAATATGGATCCTTCTTGTCATATTTACAGCAGAGACAATTTTAATTTTTTCAGCTGCCATCATTTTTAGAGACTTTATCTGTTTATTGGCCAAAACAGGGAAGTTTTAACCGTAATTGTAATTAACTCCCAAGAACAATAAAAAAACTAATTTAAGATGTAAGAAAAGTAATAATAAAGTAAGATGAAGCTAAATAAATAGAAATAAAGTAGCCATGTCCCGCTCAGCAGGCTGAGGACCAACGACCACGCTTAGACGGCACCCGGCACCAGTTTTCCCGGGCGGCAATTTTAATTTCATGTGACAGGACGCTTTGATCACTTCTTTTGTTACAGTCTTGGCTCTCAGCTAATGTAACATGCAATCCAGGTCATCCATGTATTGTCGTATATTCGTCCACCTCTTTGTGTATCTGTTAAAGCCTCTGTGCGTGGCTAACCACAACGCATTTACAACAATAAAATCATAGGGATTCATTGTCATATTATTATCAGTCGGGCTCTCTGACAATATTAACATTTATTTAAGCCTAACAGTTCTTTCAGAGATGTGCGAATACCTCCATAAGATGTTCAGTCCACTGTTTATTAAATCTTATATGGGTATCACTAAAACTTCAGTTTTTTTTAGTATCTCTGTAATATTTTGTGTATAATTCAGAAACATGTTTTATTTGTTGTTTGTTTTAAAGATTGAGGATAAACCAGGAAAATTATGAAGGTGATGATAATTTCAAGGTCAAAGTTAGACCCAGGTTACTGATGCAGCTGAGCTTTTAAAGCTGTGATGAGGAAGATGAGGAAGAAAAACATGAACCTATTGTTTACCATCTGTTCTACTTCTAAAATTATAAGGGCAGTTTGGTTATTTAATCTGTAGAGAATGCTCCTAGTTTTTTTTTTTTTTTTTTTTACAAAAATTGAGGATTTTTTTCTAACAGTAAAACACTTTTTTTTTGAAAAATAACTTTTGTTTGCATTAAAGAGATGGAGAGACACAGAAGAGCAATAATGTGCTTCATTAAAGGAGCTTTTCTCTCGATGCACCAGCAGCTCCAGCAAACACTGACGCATCATCCATCATCTAAGACAAAAGGAAGGAGGAAGAGACGAGCAGGATGGCAGGAAAGCTGACTAAGATCCCCAGAACTGGTCTGCTCGGAAACCTGATGACATTGTCTTGACTCGCTAAATTCTGATAACAGCTCATGTCAACAAAGGACTCATGAAGCACCCTCAGATTCAAACACACACCATCTAAGCAGGTAAAATCATCTCAATTCCCTCCTCAACATGTTTCAGCAGCTCTGACCACGAATGCATTTACATCAAGAAGTAAGAGTGAAAGTGTTGCATCTTTGCCCTCTCCTTTGCTGCACTCCTGTGCCACACCTCAGTTCCTGTTCTCAGGAAAAAAGAGTCACCTATCCCAAGGGTCCAAAGTCTGCACCTCACTGACATCACCAGGGATCCTCAAGTGACCCGCTGCGTCACAAAGCCGGTGACGTTAACTATTCAGCAGCATGCATTCAGAGCAACAAAAGACACAAGCAGCAGTGAATAAAAAAAAAAACAAAAAGGAAAAACTCAGTCCTTGGAGATGGGTGAGGACACACCTGAAGCACAGGTACAAAGATCAAACACACACAATAGGCCTGAAAATCCCCCTTTGTTCTTTCCTGGACCATTAGTGAAAGCTTCACCTGCTCTGCTGTAGGTTTCCTTTGTTTTCTGCTCACAATGTAAATTACTGGACATTTTTCATTGGAGGCAAAAGTTGAGTTTGAAGTAAATTAGACCAAGCAGCTACAAGACAGACTGGGGCCCCCAGGCATGCCGGGGAGCCGGGAGAAGTCTTTTCTTTCTAAAAGAGACAGAGAAGGACACACCTCTACCAGTGGGGGGCCCCCAGGGACCCCTGGGTGTAATCTGGTCCTGTATGTGTGATTGTGCCTGCCCCACATGCAACCGCTCCCCCGCCTTCCCCTCACCCCATCTGTCCCTCTCTCCTTCTCTGTCTCCATCACCTCCTGCAGACAATGTTGATCTGCTGTAACGTGTGCTCACTGCAAATTTGCACATCTCTCCTAAATACGACGCGGTTCGGGACAAAGCTGCGCTCCAAACACCCCACCACCAGCACATTCCCCAACTCTGCTTAGAAAACAAAACGCTAAGCTCCTGACGCTAATCACGGACATAGTGCAAATTCCTGGACGCAAATTGAGGATTTTCCAGGATTAGATGAAACATCAGTAAGGCCAAATTTCCCTACTGTACTTTCTTAGTCAGGCTTTAGGAAACTTTCTCAGTCTGCTGTGCAGCACACAGGGGCTACTGCTGCAGTCACAAAATGGTTGACTCCCCTGCCTCTGTGGACAAAATGGCCTCCCTGTGAGCAGCTGCTAGTGCTGCGACGCTGAGCCTGACAGTGAGTCATTGCATAACCCAGCTGTCCGTTACAGTTGCATGGAGGATATATAGTTAAATTTAAATTAGAACTGGCCAGAGAACAGGAAATACATCTAAAAGCAGACATGCCAGGCTGTTCTTTCACAAGATTTATGGAGCAGAGGGACGAATCCAGAGCATTTCAGTGTGAATATAAAGAAGCTCACCTGAATGTGCATTTTGATTACCGCCTTCCCGATCAGTGTTGCCCCAAAAAAAGTCCAGAAGGGGACCAGAAAATGTCCACATGTTAATCCGGCCAGGTCAAACAATGGATTCGGAATCTAAGGAGGGAAATATAGGATCTTTTTAGACTTAATTCTGCACAAGAAACAAAAGACTATATAATATGAAAGGGTTCTGTGTCTTTATTTTAGTAGCTTTGCTTCCTTTCTGCACCCCACTGACTAAAACAGAAGGTCTGTAATTGCATTAAATAGACTTTTTAGAGCAAGATATTTGAAAGCAGGTCAATTTGACTCACAGAGGCACAAGCTAAAATCCCCAAAAACCCGACCTTCTGGATAAGCTTCTGGATGGCAACTTTCACCCTAGATGCAAAATCCTGAAATAAAAAACAAGCAAACAAAACAAAATATAAATTAAACAGAGAATTATTTCATTTTTCTTGTTCTTAAAAATGAATGGAAAACTTTTTCTTCAGGGGACACTTAAAAATTCCTGCTTTTTATTTAAAATCATGACCTATAATCACATCTGCATTAGACCGACTTTAGGAAACAAAAGATAAATTGTTTATCATCATTTCTTAAAATATAATCATTATTTACACTTCATGAAACAAATTATCCGCTTTAAAATAATTTCTTATTTATTAGTTTGGAGCGGCTGTATTTATTCAGCCTCATTAACAAACACTTTAACTTACAATTTGTTTTAATGGTTTGTTTTTTAAAACTGTGGTTCAGAAAGTTGGAATCAAATATTCGTAACTCTTCCAACAAAACTGTGATTTATTATCGTCAGATAAAGTGCATTTCTTCTCAAAGAAATAAGTTTTAGAGCCCATTCTCTCTCTAATATATCACTAAAATTAAACTAAAATAAAACAGAAATGTTTCTGAAAGCAAAACAAGAGCAATAGTTTAATTTATGTTGCAGAGCAGCGATTAGATTTATGACAAAGAGGCTTGTGAACAAATTTGAAGGCTTGCTTTTTATTTCATGTTTGCAAAATGGTCAAAATAATTTTTTTCAGTCTGAAAAAAGTTTTGTTTTTTGATTAAAAGTGACCAAAAAAGAGCTTTTCAGAGTTTTCCCATCATGTCTAGATATCAGGAGTTCACAGCATTTAGTTTTATATTTGAATTCTGGCTGAAAGTTTCCTGTTATTACAATTAAATGAAGTGTGAAAGAAAACTTGCTCCTTCCAGTAAAACTATGTGTTAAAGAAAAGCAGCAAAGTCAGGAGATTCTTGCTCCTCCTGTAAACAAATTTAGCAACAAATGACTTTAAACAATTTCTTAGCAACAAGAAAAAAAGAAATAAAATCCTAAAAAAAAAGTTATGTATCAGTAAAGATTATTTAGAACTTTAAATGTGACTAAATTAGATTTTCAATCAAAACAAATCTGAACCTCTTTGTTTCTAAAGTTTTTTTTATTTTATGTGAGAAACAAAAATCTTCTTGATAAAAGCAAATAAATATTTATTTTTAAACACATGAACATTTTTCTTGATTTTTATAGAAAACATGCAAAAGCTAAACCTGATAAATAAGAGTGTTTGCTGCAGAGAGGGGCTTAAAAGCTGCAAAAAAACAACTATTTTTACATTAGATAATTTTATTAAGTATAAATATTTATTTTTAAAGGGAATTTTAAAGTAGAACTGCTTGCTGCAGTAAGGAGAGAACCCTCCAGCATCTGCAGATAAATTAAATTTTGCATTTCAATGCTCTGATTCACCTGTATGACTCTAAATAAGTCAGGAAAAAATATTTCTCAACATGTTTTATAGCCTGAAGTAACACTAATTTGTTTTCTGCAATTAATCATCTTCAGGTTTAATGCCTTATCATTTCTTTAATTGGAAATATCTGAGACAAAGCAGTAATTTCTGGTCATTTTCTGTGACTCAGACATCCAGGACTTTTCCGATCGCTGCTGCCCCATCGCTCCTGACAGAACAACAAAGGCCTCTTTTCACTCCAGTGACACAGATTTGTCCAGAATATTCCAGGAAGAGAAGGTTTAACCTGTTTGGAATTTAGCTAAATTATATTTCTGGGAAGAGGATCAGTGCATGCAGGCCGGCGCTGCGTCTCCCACACCTCTGATATTTGCATAGTTCAATTTGAAGGTAAAGGGAAAATGATAACTTTAATGCAGAGTTCATTTATTAGTATTAAAGTTTTTCTTTTTCCATCAGTAATGCAGATTTTAACTCTTTATTATTCAAATTTTTTTTGCAAAATGTAATTTGAAATTTTTACCAAATTTGCTAAATATTTAAAGAACTCTTAAACTTTTAAAGACCTAACCTATTTTTTTCTTATTAACAATACCCAGAAGTGTTACAATATGAAAAAATGATATATTCAACTTTTATTACACTTTCTAAGGTATTTTTTTTTTTTAAAGATACATCAATCTAATTTAATTATTTTGCTAACACATTTATTTAGAAAAGCTATTTTTAAACAAAAAATGATGCTTGTTATTTAAATGTTTTTTTTTTTTACACAGACAAGTTCTGGAATGTAAAATAAAATAACAAACGTTTCAAAAGATTTAGGCCTAGTTTCTCTTTTTTATTTCAAATTAAAGAAATTAAAAGTATGGATTTAAATTTTCTATAATAGCAATTCTACTTTAGAAAGCTGTGCATCTGGTTTGCAACTTTAAAACCTCTCTGAGTAATGTTAAAGTTAAAACAAAAATAACATTTTAGTCCTGAAATTAGCCTTAAAATGTATAAATCATAGCTATATGAAGGCCTTCCTAAAGTATCATAATTTAGCTTTTATTACAGCTTTGGATAAATGTTTATTTCAAAGCTTATTATGATTATTTGATTTTTCTGGATAATTACTTTTCTAAAGAATAAAGATTTGTTCTAATCTAAAAGTCTAAAGTTAGATGTAAAAAACAACAATTAAAGTAAATAAAGTAAGGCCTAAATAGGAATTTTTGGGGGGATTTTTTTCCCTTGCTTCATGAAGTCCAGAGGGGAGGTTTGTTATACAGTATCAGGCCTTATATGGTCAATGAAACCAATTCATTGCTGATGACATTCTTTGCGGGGTGCTACTCAGCAGACAGGAAATCTGAGCGACATGGGAGGCAGCCTAATAAGGTGGTGGTGGGGGGAGCAAAGAGACGTCCAATCTGATTGGCTCTCGATTTGAATTTCTGCCTCCACTGATGTCCAATCATAAAAGTTTCTCCTCAGACAACCCAGAAGTTTTAATTTCACCCTGTCCCCATGTGCATGAGTGTGTGAGTGTGGCTCAGCTGGTGGGACACAGGGAGGGAAGGAATGTAGATGGCTGCTTTGAGGACAGTCTAAGACACCTGACAACGTCGACTGATCCACTGCGGCCCGACTCCTGTAGAACCAATCACTCATTCTTTTGTTTGCAGACATCATGACACCTCCATAGTTATTTAGGTGCTGCAGCTGAACGTTTGGCTCACATAATGAGGGACCATAAAAATAGTCAGAGAGCATGAAAATATCATTGCAGCCTGAACAAAGGGTCCCAGAGGGGCTAAAGGGAGGGGGCCAAAAGAAGGTTTGAGAGTGTATGTGTCAACTAGTGACACTGTGATTTAGTGCAGTTGAACTGCACACTTGGATCTCTCCTTTGTGCATCTCTGGGCCATGGAAGCATCTGTCCAGGATGGATGGGAATCAGACATCCAGACTCAGCCACTGGCGGCAAGAGGAAAATCACTGATTTTCCCTGGCAACCCGCCAGCGATTTGTCCTACCAAACGCTAACCCACTTCTCCACCCCAGTTAACAGCAGGCTGAGGATCTAGGCTAAGGGAGGAATTGGATTTTGTAAGATCATCTTCAGGATGTGATTTCACAGAACAATGAGGTTCGGTTTCACCTTTAGCTGCTCAGCGCAGCACATCCTCAGAAGGTGATTCTAGTTTCTGGCACATTATTGGCTCAGATTTCCTCCGTAAGCATTTTATATTACGCTTTGGTTGAAACAAATAGAAACCTTAATGAGCAACTTTATAAATTAACCCTAACATCGGGCTCACTGGGCAAAATAGAGACTCTATTACAAGTGATTAATTTAATGTTGGTTTTCTTTTAATTCCAGGACCTTTATTGTAAATTGTATGGAGTAATATGCAAGCTGGATGGAGGGGAGGCTCTGAAAGAACATGGCCAAACAAGGGTCCTATGAATGTAATAGGGGCCCACCCAGACCAAAAGGAGGAAGATTGTCAGCAGTTTTTTTAACGCTGTGGTTTTGGGATGGAACGACTTATCAGCCAGACCGTATTTCTGGCTGATTATTTACGTTTTTATTTCTTGTGTCGGTCAATACTTGCTCATCACCGGATTATTAATGCATTGCGTAACAATTGTTTTCATTGCATCATCTCTACCTCATAAATTGAGGAAGAGAAAGAAATATCAGCTTCAAGGATCCCCCCCAAAAAAAAATCAGCAGCGCATATCATGGATGAGGTTAAAAAAACAATCATAAAAATCGTTTATTGGTTGATTTATTGGTTGAAATTTTACAGCAGTACCGAAAAAGGGACCCAAAAAATTAGGATGGATAGCTGAGGGTAACCCAGTGGGTACATAAAATAAAATGCACCCAATGCCTCTTTTCCCTCTATAACGTTAAAGATAGACATAGATACCTCAGAGCACACCCACAACCTCTCGTTTGGATATATGTAGTGTCTCACATTGACTTCCATTGATTTTTATTCATTTTTAACCCTTTCTGTGCCCTAACCTTGAAAATAACCCTAAAACTAACCCTTACAAGGCTAAACCTAAGTGTTACAAAAATAGCTTGATGTATATGTATATATATATATATATATATATATATATATATATATATAT